TATTTGAGCTTTTCCCTCTTAAACAATTGCACCAGTTTTGTCTGATTTGGTTTTGGGGGTTAAACCTCTTCACTGTACCTTTGTTTTCTGTTCCATTAACTGATCTTAGTAATTCTTTATTTTAGTTTGTATTCTTTATATGAATTTTGTTCTAACTTCTAACTCTCTAACTTCTTAAGCTGGACACTTAGCTAAATTATTAGCTTTTCTTCTAATATAAATATTTAGTGCCGTAAGATTCAAGCGCCATACCACAGTCATTGTATCTCATAAATTTTTGAAGGTTAGTACAGGCATTTTAATTATCATTCATTTCTTATGTTTAAATTATCATTATTTCTTTTTTGGTCCTTATTTAAGAGCAGTTTCTTCAATCTATGAAGCATATACAGTTTCAAAATTATTATTATTTATTTCTAATTGCCTGTTGTCAAAGAGCATGTTTTATATGATAGTCTTTGAGATTTATTGAGACTTGCTTTATAGATGACTTTAAAAATGTTTGGATATTTAGAAAAAAACATTTTATTGTTGTCACATTTTAAGTTCTATGTTGGAACTAATTGTGCTGCTTATTTATATTTTTATTAATTTGGGGCCTATTATATTTATGTGTTAAACTTCCCACTCCATATGGATTTCCCAATTTATCTCACTAAAGTTCCATAAACTCTTGATTTGTGAATCTTTTAAGCTATTTTGTTAGATATGCTTATCATTTTATGTTCCTTTAATATAAAATCTTTAACATCATGTAGTGACTCTCCATCCCTCATATAATACTTTTCATCTTAAACTTATCTGTTTTACTTAAGTTTATTCTTTAGGAACTTGCTTTGTATCTTTTTTCTCACTGTTTTCCTTCAAATTCTTATTATTTTCATATTTTAAATATGTCTACTGTCAATAGCATACTGTGAAATATGTTTGTGAAGCAAAGTGGCATAGCAGTAAAAAGCACTGACTCAAGGCCGACTACCCAGTGTGAGTTTTAGCTTCACCTATTTGACACAATTACTAGCTATGTTTCCATAGGCAAGTTTCTGTTCTTCATTTTCCTCCTTTGCAAAAAAGAAATAATAATGCCATATCTACCTTATAGGATTGGTAGATATGGAATTGTCTACCAATACCAATGATGAAATATTATATATACAAATCATAAATCATTAAGAACAATGCCTAATACATTGTAAGTACTATGCAAAAATATCTATTTAAAAAATGCTGATGGATTTTTTTTTTTTTTTTGATTGGCAAGTGCAGTCTCTACATTTACTATGGGTGCAGATGTTTTAAAATGTATTCCTACCTTTTTTAAATTTTATTCTATTTCTCCTATTATTCTATGATTCTTTTTTCATCTATTGCATCTTTATTAACATATTGTTCTCTCTTTTCCTCTACTGGTTTAGAAACTATATTTTTATACATTTAATATCTCCCCTTGAAATTTTAGTGACATTGTTTAACAAAGTCTAAAATTTTAGCTTAATCTTTTTTCCTAAAATATACTTTATTCATTTACCTCTCTTATTATTAGGATTTTTGTGTTGTCTCTTTTTAAAGTCTCACAATTAATAATAATTGATTTTAGTTCATAGAGATGATTATTTAAATTTAGCTACTTGTTACTAAATTTACTTAACCTTTTTTCATCTCATTATCTTCCCTCTGGGAGTATTTTTCTTCTTCATGAAGTATATGCTTTAGAATCTTGCTAGTGAAGTATAGTTAGTGGACCAGCAATAGCAGCATAACACGAGTTTTCAAGAAATACATACTATTGTGGTTATTCTGGTCGCCTCAACTTCCTTATTTTAATTAAAAATTTTCAGATTCTACTCTTTTGCCCTGTTATAAGACCAAGTTTTAAATTCAAATATCAGTTTAGGCATTGAAATTAGCTGGCATAGTTTAACACTTAGGGCTCCTGCTCTGGTTGCTATTCTAAAATGCAACAAAACCAAACCAAAAAACCCTTGGAGATTTCTCTTACGTCCAACAATGAAACCAGTTCTGTTGTGGTAAGTACATTATTTCATCTTTCTTAGTACTAACAGCCTAATTTGAGTTTCTGACTTTTTACCCTAAAGTAATGTGGCTTTTGTCTCATTACTTGACTGAACTCTTCTTGCAACTAACAAGTGACATCCTTGTTGCTAAAATAAATAGAAACTTTTTGAGACTTCATATTATTCCATCCTTCAGGCAGCAGTTAATATTCCCGATAATGTGGCTTTTAGCTTGAATGACTCCATTTTGACTTGGTCTGATCTGATGAGGCCTAGAGCAGGAGCTCAGCCCAAAACAATGGCCTCCCATAATTCTGAGTTAACAATTCAAAATTAGATGCTATTTGAATGATCCTCATAAAATATATATGTAATCATATCACTCTTCCAGATTAAAACTCTGTTTCCCATTTCCTTAAGAATTAAGTTTAAATGGCATGTCATGCTTCACAAAGGCCTTCATTAACCACTATCCCTTTCCACTAACCACTCAAATTTTCTTACACTCCATGTTCTAACCACCCTAAATCTTTTTTGGCTTCTCCATTGTCGAGATGCTTTTTCTTTTCCTGGCCTCTATATATCCTGTTTTTCGCTTACTACATACAATCATATTCAAGCTAACTTTTTGGGGGGGTTTGGTTTGGTTAAAGTTTAAGAAAGAAACTTAGTGTCACTTGCCATGAAAGATATTTCAGATTTTTCTTTTCTCTCTTCAAAACACTTTTTGAAATAATAAATACTAAAGAGAAAAAATTAATGTATACTTCCATTAACATGTACAGTAAATGAACATATATGCTCATAAATATATAAAATATTTCTAAAAGAATAATCAAGAAACTAAATCATTATTTCACTTAGGGAGGAGAAATGGTTTAAGGTCTGCACAGAAGGAAAACTTATTTTCCAATATTACACATTTTTGTTTTTGAATTGAAGAATTTTCTTATGAGAATTAAAAAATAATAAATGCTCAAATTTGAGATTCATCAGACATTATATCATCAGATTTTCCAGTAAGAAGTTGAACTTTTAAGATTAGGAGTGATAGTTATTGAAATGTCTACAGTTTAGTTTTTTTAAAGAATAAATGGGAAAAAACCCATTTAATTACTGATTTTAAACCCTTAGTTTTATAATTTTCTGTATAAATTTCATTCTCCTAAATTTTGTATTTCTGTAAACCCTTTATGAATTTACCTGAAATATAAATAATAAGCATTCTGACTCAAATAAGCAGAATTTGGTGGGGGGAAATACCGAAAATTTAGTTTTGGCTTTAATAGTATATTATCCCAAATCAATATGTGATTCTACCACACGAAGAAGATTTTTGGCATTTTTCCCCTCCAAATTTTCAAAATAGATTATAGCAACTGAAATAACATGTAAATTCAAATGACACTGCTGTTGTGGGAAGCAATCTGTGAATTACATGAGGATCTTCTCTCAGTACGGTAGCCAGGGAGATTTAGGTTTGGCATCTCAAACTATCCGTGGCTCTCCCATAGCAACAGATTGCCCAATGCACATGACCTTTATCTCCACTCTACTAGGAAAATACTTCATAGTAGCTCCAGGGATGGGTGTAATCTGTTAGGAACTGAACAGCATACCTTTAACCTATTTTGGTGAAGAACATTTTATGGAAAGCCTTTGATGTTTCCCAATATAAATAAAGCAGGCTTGGGCTCCATTTTGCCATAGTATAGAAGCTCAATCTTTCTGATTGGCTTGCCCATCCTGCCCCCACTTCTGCAACTACTCTCTGTGTCCTGTGGTTTTTTTTTTCATCATTCTGTTTTTCTTAGCTTGTATTTCTTGGCCAGCCCATTCCACTGAAGGGAACCCCATTCCCACCGCCTGCCTGGGTTGCCACCCACCCAGGTCGCGAGCAAGAGGTACATCATTTACAAAAAATAAAATAAAATATCTAAAATATCAAGCTCTTAATGCTTCAGCTCTTAGCTTGAAAGTCTTCCTTTGAAAAGCTTTCATCACTGTTCTTCCTGCTACTGCTATCCCACACACTCTGTAGAACTGCTCACATTAATGAAGGAACTATAGTTGGCTCTACTTATCTTTTTTATAAAGTTTGTCTCTATGAGGTGATGAAATCTTGAGGGTAAGGGAATTTATAACTATGTAAGCAATAGCAGAATCTCCAGGTTTCTTATTTAAAAAAAAAAAAAAGCAAAGTGGTGAGAATAGCAGAAAACAGATTTCAAATACTGAAATAATTTTTAAAAGTAGATTTTATGGAGCGAAGTGTCAATGAGCACACATATATATTACTAAATATTTCTAGTACCAGTGATTTACAACAACAAATTAGCCACAAAAATTATTATAATAAAAACTTACTATGATTCAGTAGCAACCAAATAAGACCCATAATACGAGCTGGATAATAGCTCAGTGGTAGAGTGCTTGCTTAGCATGTGGGTTCCATCCCCAGCACACACATAAAGAAAACCTGCAATATGGCTTATGGCAATTTCTCAAGTAAGAGTACCTGTAACAGTGCTATGGATATTTAATATATTCTCATGTTCACTTCTTATGGTTATGAATTTTAAAATTTTATCAGGGATACTTTTTTCACTTTCTTTGGTCTAGTTATTTTGACATACATAATTTAGCAAGGATTAAATAACTTAAGGATTATTTTCAGATGAATTCACAGTAGTAATATTGTTAACAGAATAAAAGCACACTTCTTTCAAGAAAATAAAATATAAATAATGCTAATACAAAATTTCTCTAACATGATAGTATAGAAATTTGATTTGGTCTCTTTATACATGCATGCACATGTATGAACTTATACACATATATGTATATATTCTATTCTGCAGGAAAGAAATAAATAGCAGAAATACATTTATGTAGGATACAAAATATATTCTAGAGATATATAAGCACAGAATATATATGTGTGTATTCATACACATGCACATATTATGAGTATAAATTCAACAATTATCAGTTAAAATTTTATTAGTAATATATGGTGGGACCAGTTTACAGATGGTGTGGTAATGGTTGCAAAAGTGGCAGAAAGGAACTTAGCACTCAATATATTTAATAAATAAAACTTAGTGATTCATTAAATATTATGATACTGTATAAGATAAAAAAAATCCCAACTCTTCAATAGATCTTTAGTTGGTATCTTTCTGACAACCCACACATTTCTAGGTAGGTAAGAAACTACTGACATTGTAGGAATTAACTTGAAAATTAATAGTTTGTCTACAAAGTTTCATGGCTCCAAAATATGAAATGGTCTTGAAGAATAATGAAAAATATTAGTTTACCATCTTGATATCATTTTGACTGCACTTTATAACTTAGAATATTTTTTACAATTAGGTTCATATCCCCAACCTAACAAGTTCATAAATATTGTAAATATGATCCATTTTCTTTACAATCATCTTAATGTGGTAACTTAGTTATATGCTTTGGTATGAAATTATTTACTAAAATATTTCATTTTTTATATAAAAATTAAATATTTCCATCATTTGCTTTATCTCAGAAGTCAGTCTTTCAGTTGAACTTTAGAATTTTTGAGTAGTGACAGATCATTCCTGTCAAGTGGTCTTGAGGCAGAAAGAAATTAACAGAAAGATGAATGCAGTTTTTCAGGAATTAAACACATGATGCCTAAGATGTGGATGTAAAGATAACTACATATTACAATTATTTATTCAACATATGTATCCTTTAGGACTCACCATATTTCTTTTGTTCTTTATCTTTGATAGAATTAATTTCATTTGATTTTACATTAAGGCAAAAGACAGATATCTCCTTTTCCTTGGCTTTAATTAGTCTCAAATTCATCTAAGAACAGAGAAAATGATGCTAATATCATAAAAGGTTCACATCAATATTAGGACAACTCTTTTCTTCTAATAAATTTATGCTGTTTATAATAACTAAATGTTTAAAAATACTAATCCTGAGCAAGAGTAAAAACAAGAACAGTTTTGACTAAAGAATAAAATTCCTTCATTGTTAAACAGCTTTAAAATTCAACCACGGAACATAAAGTCTGTAAGACTAGAATTTATACTTCTGATGTCCATGGCAAACCTGAATACTTTGAGCAGAAATAAAACACACATAGTAGATAATACACAATAGTAAAAAGCATCAGAAATAGATGCACCTGGATTTTGTTAAATATAACAAAGGTCACTCAGTCCTTCATAGACAACTCTAGCTGGTAGAACAGCATTGAACAGTGTATGGCATTTAGCAGAAATTCCTCAGAAAGGCCACATGGATTCTTTTTAGATAGATATAGATTTTTCAAAATGTTCAAAGATATAAAAGATGCATTTGGAAATAAACATGAATTCTGTTTTCACAGAAGCAGAATGTTCTGGACACTTTGAAAATTGAAGTAGGTCACTTGAGTTTTTCATTACAGATGTCTCCTCCATGAAAAATAAAAGCTCACTGCCCAGCAAAGCATCATTTTCACAGAATATTTAAACATCAGTGAAGGCTTTGAACAAGGGCTTTGCAACATGGGTCAACTGAAACCTAGCTCTAAGAATAATTTTCTAGTACATGTGATGAAAGTGCTTAGGAGTAGGAAATTGACAGCACAGCAAGGATCCTCTCACAGTATTAAGGCCTGTCATGTGGGATTGGTCAGTTGAAAGTCAGCACAGTGAACATTAGATAATGATATCTGACCCTGGGCACTGCCCTCCAGGTTTCTTCTGTATGACTTCTTTTATTCGAACTGTCGTTCTTCCTCTTCATCTGCTTCTTCAATGACCTGAATCTCATCTGCTTGAGATAATGAAGTTTTTTCTACCTGCAGTTTATTTCCCTCAGCTTTACATTTTTCTTCTTCCTCTATGATTTCCTTCCATATCTTGTGGTTTTCAGTGAGGTGGTGCATCAGCTGACAAAATATTCGCCTTCTGCTTTTCCTTCTTTGTGGTTCTGTGAAATTTAAAACAAACATCTTCTGATTATAGCGATTATGATTGATTGATTGATTAATTCACTCATTCCACAAATGTCTTCATGCCAACCATTCTGTAAATATTTATGTAAGCACTGAGGTTATAATAGTGAATAGTAAGATAAAAATAATTCCTATGTTATGGAGTTCACATCCTAGTCGAACAATACAAATAAAAAGAATACATTAGATGGTATTAAGTGTTATGAATAAAAAGAAAACATGAAGAATAGCCAAAACTGGATAGGGGAAGGTAAGTATAGTCTTGATTTCAAATGAAAACCACAGCAACCCAAAATTAAAAACCAGTCTCTTAAGGGATTTTTATGTATTGAATTTAACACAATTGCCAAAATTCTGGTGAATATTAATCATTTTTAGAAGCTAGTCAACCTTCCCAAAGTGACACTCAAGATAGTAGAGGCATAAGAGTACTCTTTGCTGCTACCTAATCCTAAATAGGAGGCATAAGTATGTGAAGAGGATAAGGGATAGGTTCTTTATTGTCAACTTATATGTTCTGATTTATATCATGTTTGGGAAAAAATATGTAGCTAGGTATAATTTAACTTATCTAAAACAAAGGAGCAAACAATTGATTTCATTCACAATTATGAAGGTGACAAATGGGTATGCTTTTAAAATTTTCCATTTATGCTCATTGTCTTATATAGAAAAATATATTATTATAGTCTAATAACTCAATTTTAATGCCACAAAACTTGATTCTGCCTTTAGAGCCAAGAAATGTATGTTTTCCTTTCCTCCCCACTGTTTAGATTTATTTCCCAAGCCTATGTGAATGTCATTAGCAAGCTGCTAGAAGTTGTAATTCTCAACTGCCTAGTGGTGTTGGGAGCAGGTTGTCTGAGGAGGGGTGAGATGAAGGAGGACTAGCAGCTAGGATCCTCCTATCTCAAATGTTCAGATGTGGTGACAGCCCTATCATGGATGAATAGGTGAAGTGTGCTGAAGAGCACTGGCCAGAGGACATCTCCCGAGATGCTATTTATTAAATAAGAATTCTTATTGTGTAACAGTATTAACACAGTACCCAGCACAGAGCAGTCACTCAAAACATGACTATTGAATCTAAACAGTAAGATTGTAGTTACACAAGATATGACTGCTGAATCTGCATCTAAGAAACAAAGATAGAAGTTCAAATTAAATGGACATTTGTAGTTAATAACATTAAATAAATTACAGATTTTCTGAATTCTTACTAGGATTTAGATTGTCCTCCATTTCTTCATCATCCATATCTAATTCTTCACCATCTTCATCATCACTACTTTCAGTATCATCATCCTCTTCTGTTTCTATCCACTGACCCGGCAGCAAACCAGCAGCATCATAGGAGTTACACAGGGGACCCACTATATGAGTGATAAAAGATTCTTGGAGTTTTGCTAGTTGAGGAGAAGAACGATCCATGAAGGGACTGATGGGTAGACCAAGATTTGCTTCTTCATCTCCCTGAGCATTTTAAAAAGAAAAAATACATTGTTGTTGTTGTTTTAAATTTTTTTCAGTTGTTGATAGACTTTTTATTTTATTTATATGTGGTGCTGAAAATTGAACCCAATGCCTCACACATGCCAGGCAAGTGTGCTACCGCTGAGCCACAGACCCAGCCCAGCCACAGCTCCAGCCCGAAAAATACGTTTTTGTTGAAAGAGCAAACACTGAGCTTTGCTTGTAAATTATCTTTACATTTTTAAAATATAGTGTACATCAAAATAACTTTTACAAAGAAATATTTATGAACTTAATTATTCTATCATTTTAACTGTAACAACAATTTGAGAAATTCTAAGCAAATTTTTAATCTCATATCTATCTATATCAATCATTATAGATGATATTAAGTTAATAAAAAATATATAGCTTTTAAAATAAATATCAGCAATTTTACTAACAACCTGCAAAATTCTATAATGTCAAATATAGATTCTCTTTCTCCTTAAAAGAGGAAGGCATAGTGGATGCATTTTATAAGACACACAAAAGCAGAGTTACTACAGTTGAGGTAAGACTTTGGGTGTATAGTTCCAATTGTCTGATTCCCTTCCATTGTAGCTTCTAGGGTTCTACAGAGCACAATTTGAGATCAGATGGATGTTCTTTCAAACTCACTTTTGCAACTTAACCACATGTGGTATCGGCATGCTTATGTCAGTATCATCATGTATAAATTTTGAATAATAATCTACCTTATAGGGTTGCTATGATGATGAAAGGCAATATTATTCAAAGTGAAACATTCCCCAAATGGTACTATTAATGTTTTACTACCTAAATTGGTTGGAAATTAATTATCCTTCACAATGCATAAATTCTGCAGGCAAGCAGTTTTATCTGTGATGAGCCCACACAACCCAAGGAAATGACCAGAACTGGCCCAGTGATTAACTATCCCATGGTTAAAAGTCTTCTAAAAGAAATAAAACTATTAATATTTTTCAAAAAACAGTTTGGACATAGTGGTAGAGTGCTTGCCTAGTAATGTAAAGCTCCTGGATTCAATCCTCAGCATTGCAAACAAACAAACAAAAAAACAACAAAAGGGCTGTTGTTATTAGCTCAGAGGTGGAGTGATTGTCTCGCATATGTGAGGCACTAGTTCAATCCTCAGCACCACATAAATAAAACAAAGGTATTATGTCCATCTACAACTAAAAAATATTTTTTAAAAACCCAGCTGGGTTTAATCCACAGGAGTCTTCAATTTCATAGGTATACCCCAGGAGCCTGGCTTTTCTAAGCCCACGGCACTTAAATAGCTTTAAGGGTATAAAGACTGTATAATTAAGATAATAAATAGAAAGAAGTTCAACAGTATAGCCAAAACAAGAAGGAAATTTAATAGTTCTAATAAGAGATAACTAGGACTTTCATATATAGTATAGTATCAGATAACATTTTTCTCCTTTATCATGACTAAAATCTATGAAGATGGAGTGAAACTGTTTGAGATAATATGTTTAGCACTAGATCTGGATTTATAGCCAACATTACTGAGCATTTCGTGTCAGGAACTATTCCAAGACTTTTACATGTATAAAATTTATTTAATCCTCACAGCAATCTTTATGAGTTAGGTATATCATCATGCATATTTTATCAACAAGAATACTGAAGCATAGAGAAGTTAAGTAACTTACCCAAGGTCACATTGTCAATGAGAAGGAAAAACTAGGGTTCAACCTAAGGCATGGCTTCTAAGTTTGTTTAGTAAGTATTAACTCTATATACTCTAAAAATAATTTAAAGTTGTTTGTAAATGAACATTTCTAATGTTATTTCACTAAAATAGTGGGTTTTCTAAAATTGATAATATATCACTACATTTTATTACCAACTTATGCAGCTAATGAAAAATGAATTTTTCCTTAGCATAAAATTCCTCTTTTGTGAATGCAAAATCTACTGGAGAACTCTGAGGTAAGCTTCAGTTATCACTGAAAATGAATACAGGAATATGCAAACTGTATGCTATAATCTTACAAAGATAATCATTGCCCAAAATTATATATGATTTAAATACATTAGAATAGCAAAATATTATAATATTGGAATACTTATATATTTATGTGATCACATAGAATGGTATTTGTAACTTGAAAAGGTGGCTAAAAGACTTTTACTATACAATCTGGGGGTAACCAGGTATGCCAGGTAAGCACACATTGTGAAACAGAGTCAACTTTGTTATTCCTGTTTTTTGCTTATAGTAAGAAAGCCCTGACACAAAGAAGGCCTCATTCAGTAGACATTTTGATCTTTCCTGATTATTATGGCCAACAAGGATTCCCAAGGAATCCATTTCATAAGTTGTATTTGATATTTTGGAGATAATGAAATGTGAAGCTTGTGGGAAAATCATTTTACTTCTACATTATGTGGAGCCTCAAGATATGACAAAAATGGGACAGATTCTGCAAATTGGTAGGATTATTTTAAAGCCAAGATTTAAAAATCAATGAAAAAAAGGAAAGAGCATATTTATATCTTTGAATCCTTGAAAACTACAAAGTATCTACTCTACAGATGTTGCTAGCCCTCTAATTTTTTATTCTCTGCTAGAATTTCTGCCCAGTTGATGTTTCTATGGGACAGTAGTTTGTATTTCAATAGTACAATTGAAATATTGTTGATATTCTTTAAATATAGTCTGAGCAAATCCTGGAATCACCCAAAAGCCACTTCTTTTAGAAATCAGTTGTTCTAGGTTATAGATTCTCAAGGTTGAAAGGAATCTTAGAATTAGTCTCTTTCCCTATAGATTCAACTCACTTCAGATAGGCAATTAAGCCTGTCATTGCTTTTAATTTTAGCAGCATAGACAAGCAGAGCTGAGAAAATACTAAGAACAAGAGAGAAAAACAACACTTTCTAACCCTTTTCAGTCAAAGCAGTCTAACCCTTTTCAGATTTCAAACACCTTAGTGTAGCTATCTAAATCCCCAAAAATACTTTCTTCCCACCAATCTCACATTTCAACTTACCTGCTCATAAAATTCATTGACAATGCCCTCTGTCCATTTCAAATGCAAGTCCCGAACTTTTGCTGGGCCATTTATATCTGCAAGTTTAATGCACACCTGGCAGACCAAGAGACGATCATTTTCACTACTCCATTCTATACCATTGCTGTTTACATCATTGGCCTATTTTGGAAAAACAGAATTATTTTAGGTTCTGAAGTTTTCTAATAATAGTTGTTGGGTTTTTTGTTTGTTTGTTTTCATCAATTACCTTAAAACTGTTTCTTGTCCAAATGATAGGAAGAAATTTCTTTTTCTTAAATGCCTTTTTAAATCGTTTAAATCAGCATATACCATAAAATGGACTTCAATGGGTTAAATTACCCATTGAAGAGTTTATTTCAGTGGAAGCATACCTTCCTATAAACAACCAACCATGGATTTCAATGTTTGTGATTATCACAGAGAATAATAATTTATTTGTATATATGCATGTGTTATATAATATATGTATGTTCACACACACATATATATATACACCACTATCAGAATTGTAAGTATTTCTACCTCAAAAAAGCATAGTTAAGGAGTTAAGAAGTTGGCTGTAGTTCTGAAAGGTGAAGTGATATAGTTAAAAGAACACAAGTCTTAGAAGCTGATCCCTATATCACTCAGAGCCATTTACTTAATTCAGTGTGTGAGCTGGAAAAATTACTTAACCTATTTGATTCTTTCATTTATAAAATAAGAAAGTATTACCAATCTAACATTTTTTCATGAGGATTAATAAATGAAAAATGCCTCATTCATTAACATTATTTAAATAAATGGAATTATCAATATCAGGCAAATCTAGTAATTCTTTCAAGAACTCAAATGTCCTTTTATAAAAAATGAAGACAATGGGCCAGATCATGGCTCTTGAACTTTATTTTAGTGTTATGGTAGTTTTTAGCACCAAACCCGTTAATCAAAGGAAATTTTAAGTGGAACACCAGCATAGGAAATACTTGAAAGCTCTTTTTATTGAAACTGGGCAAGAACTCTACAGCCCCTCTAGAAAGAAGTGTTAAGGGGGAAAAAAAAAAAAAAAAAACAGAATGAAAGAAGTGTTAAGGAACACAGATTCAGAAGTATTGATTAGATAATCTTCCATTTGTACAAGGTGACTCAAACATTTAAAATGTATTTTATTATTAAATAAAATAAAAGAGAATAGAGCTATACAAATATGAAATAATTTTAATGTACCTGATTTCTCAAAAATTTAATAAGTAATTTATAAATATTATGATGGCAACATATATAGGTGTCTGCTTCCTGGGGGAGTTAAATCTAGTACTCCTTTGTTAATAGTTTCTCTACCCTAACAGTATAGCTTCCTTTAGAACACAAAAATCATCAAGGAAATATCAGCTTCCTGCCAGCCAAACAGGGGGTATCCTCTCAAGAATCTAAAGCAGTGGTTCTCAACTTTTCTTCACTCCAAATGCCTGAGGGATAGAACATGTTCCCATCAGTACCACCATCATACTAGTGAATGTGAGTTCTTTGAGGCAAGGGACTCTGACCTGTTCTTTCCTCATTTTTCCCTAGCATAGTGATTGTACATAGTGGGCAATTCCAGTAAATAGTTGTTGAATGAGTGAATTAATTATTCTCAAGTTGAAGAGGGTATTAACTTTTCTTCCCTCATGTCAGCTAGTTAAAGAATTACTAATACAAAGAAGGTGCAACTGGTGTGGCAAGATGGCATAACTGGCTTTTAAGAAACAAATGTTTGATTTCATATAATGTCTCTGGCCCATAAAATCTTTTTACATAACTGGTTTGTCACTATATGCAAGAATATGTCAAAAATAAAATACAGCAAAGAACAGTATTTTAAGATGTTATCATAACAATAAAAATGCTTTATTTTTTTGAACCAGGAGCACTTAACCACTGAGCCACATCCCAGCCCATTTCTTATTTTTTATTTTGAGACAGGGTCTTCCTAAGTTGCTTGGGTCCTTACTATGTTGCCGGGGCTGGCTTTGAACCTGCAATCCTCCTGCCTCAGCCTCCTGAGCCACTGGGATTATAGGTGTGAGCAACTGTGCCTGGCATATGTATTCTTTTATACCAATTTTTTATTGTTACTGCATGAGTAGTATTAATTCTAACAACATTAAAAAACATCATTTATCAGTAACACTGAAGACAATGATTTCATTTTTGAAATCAAGTATTAATTTGTATAACAAACCTTGGCATTGAATTCAGCAAGGAAATCAAAATGCTTTTTAAGATCTGTAGCAAGGATTGCTTCAATGACTAGAAAACGAAAGCGCTTGAATTCCACATGATCAAGATTAAGAAGGAAGTTGTATTCTGGGCGAGAAAGATATAGATTCCAAGCTGATGCAGCATGATGATTTTCCAAAACAGATCTGTCATTGTACAAAACTGCCTAAAAAGGAATAAAGAAAAATAAGGCATTCCAAAGATATGAATCTTTAATAATTCAGAGTTAGGAGCAAGTTGAAAGAATATAATGAGTATATACTTCGTAATAGGCTTTTTACCAGGTATCTTAACCTCTGTGATACAGGTTGTGATAATTTTATAACTTTCTAGACTGACACACAGAGAGGTTAAAAGCACACCTTTACTTCCATCACACATAGTAAGTGAAAGGGTTATCTCCAAATTTCATCTTCTTTGCACATGCCATGCTGCCACCCCAAATACGGAAAGGTAATATTTTGAGGTCTACTTCAATCAGTAAACCTTCTCAGATAAAGCTTCTGATAATAAAGTCACTAGGGATCAAGAGCAGGTTTAGAGATACATTTCTTTTCTTTAGCTAGCATGAAGTCAATGGTGGTGGTAACTGAAAAATAGGTACTTTCCAAAGTAAGAGACCTTCATATCTAAGGACAACATATAGCCTATACTCCCATCCTGACACAGTGCCTCGAAGTAAGACATAAGTATGCAACAGGTAAAAGCACAAATCCTGTGGTGGTTCAAACAGTGTGGAACTACTCACTTTTTTCCATCTCACTCCAGGGGATAACCCTAAATCGCCTCTTCAAGTAGTCTAGGTCTTTGAAAACAGATTCAAAATTGCTAAAACCTCTTCCACCTCTAAAAATTAGGCAGTTTTTTAAAATTATTAAATAAGCATTGTGATTATTAAAAGAATTTCCATATGAAGTCATGCTTAAGGCCAGGGATGAAAATAAAAACCTGTCTCTGTTTTCATGGAGCTTACTATACAATGAGAAAGAAAGCCAAAAAAAAAAAGAGAGAGAGAGAGAGAGAGAGAGAATGTAATGTCAGGTGCATATTCTGAGAGTTTAATTTGACAGTTTTTATTTATGGAAGTTAGCTACAGCCTAGATTTAAGCACAGATACATAATATTGTATGATTTTGTTGTTGTTGTTGTTGTTTTGTTTTGTTTGCAATACTGGGATTGAACCTGGGGCCCTATGCATGTAAGGCAAAGTGTTCTAGCTTTAGTCCATATCCCTAGCCCTAGGATATCCCCCAGCCCACATCCTAGCCTGATATTTCTTTTACAATGGTAAGATTTAAACTTTGTAATGGGCCCCATATTAATCTTTTTTTTTTTTTTTCGAGATGAGGTCTCACTATGTTGTCCAGACTGGCCTTGAACTCATGAACATCCTGCTGCCTAAGCTCCCTCACCTGAAGAATAGCTGGGATTAAAGGCTCATGCCAAAATGCCCAGCTACTTTACTTTCATACTCATTATATATATATATATTTGTAGTTGGACACAATACCTTTATTTTATTTATTTATGTATTTATTTAAATGTGGTGCTAAGGATCGAACCCAGTGTCTTGCAAATACTAGGCAAGGGCTCTACCGCTGAACCACAACCCCAGCCACACTTTCATATTAATTTTAATGTAACTTCATAAATCCCAAAGAGAAAGACTAAGTTTCAAAGATTCTCTAAGGGGATGATTTATTTTTAATACTAATTCGACTAGTTCATGATTAAATCTAATAAACACTGATAAACTGTCAGAATAGCTTTGTCTAGTCAGGAAGACTAAATGTTATAGCTTGGATCTGGAATCCCCCAAAGGCTCATGTGTTAAAGGCTTGGTCCCCAATGCAGCAGTGTTCAGAGGTGGGACTTTGGGAAGTGATAGATCATAAGGGCTAACTTCATCAATGTATTAGCCCGTTGATGGATTCATAGCTGAAGGGAAAATTGTGAGGTGACAGCAACTCTAGGAAGTAGGTCCTTGTTAAAGGAAGTGGGTCCTTGGAGGGCTATATGGGTCCTTTGGGGCCCATATCTTGTCCCTAGCTCCTTCCTCTCTCTCTCTTTTAAAACAATTTTTTAAAATATATTTTTTAGTTGTGGGTGGACACAATGCCTTTATATTTATTTATTTATTTCTATGTGGTGCTGAGGATCAAACCCAGTGTCCCACCCACACTAGGCGAGCACTCCACCACTGAGTCACAACCCCAGCCCTTAAATAAAGTATTTTTTAAAAGGGGTGGGGTTGTGGTTCAGTGGTCAAATATCTCTGGGTTCAAACCCTGGTATAAAAATAAATAAAGTGGGCAAATATTAGTAACTAAATTAAATTTATCAGAAAGTTATCTGTGCAAATCATGAGCTATTGATAAAGTCTTATTAAAGAAAGAAAAGCTTATCTACTTACACACATACCATTACAACCACTCACAGATAAATATACTTCCCCTACATCACCCATCACTATAGTGAAGATTCAAGAGAATCTATCTCCTATGTTTTAAAAAGTTCAAATAAAGAAAGAGGAAGAAGCAGAAAAAGGAACACAGAAAATGGCTTTAGATGATGAAAGCTTCAAAACTGAGGTTTAAATAAGGGTAAAGTGAAGAATTAGTATGAATTCAGCAATCACTGAGTACCTACTCTTTATTAGGCACATGGTTCGAAACACCCTCAATCGTTAGAGCTTCCAGTCACATGATGGATCTAGCCAGAAGAAATGAAAATCTCATATCTACTCAGAATTTTTTTCAATTGGATCAAAGGCAAAAATATATTCAGCAAGGTCTCCAGAATTTCACAAAATAAGGAGTTAGTATTTCATAAACTATTTGCACTTTTCTCCTTGAAGAAGGTGATTTTTTCCTAACTCCCTAGCATATATCATATCAAGGTCCTGTATTTTTATAGAATTAATTATAAGGTAGGATCTTAGAATCAGATGGAGTGGCCATATGGCTCAAATGAAGAATGGTTTATAAAGGGATATGTAGCATAGGTGTAAAACTGTGGAACTGGTCTTTAAAATTTGTGGAAAAGTATATCTTACCTGAGGTGCATTTGTAGCCACTAGAAATGCATTTGTCCTTCCTGGGTGATCATAGTCGTGCATGGCAGCTGCCACATACAAAGCCATCAATTCCAGTGCAGGAATGTTTGAAGACAGGCAGCCGTAACTCTCATCAGGAACAGAGCAACTCTTTGAAGAAATATAAGCCATTCGCCCAGAATTTATTCTATCATCAGAACCTGAGGAACAATAAGTAGTAAAATAAACCAGCATTAGCACATAACTACTTCACAATTATACCAAGGAGTGGATTTCCAATAGGTAGTAGAATTACTTGCTTGGTGACTTCAAACAGACCCCATGGACTTGATTGATGAGGGCCAAAACCAAGTTAAGATGGCGCCTGGCAGTATGCTAGGAGGAGTGGTTTCTGAGCCAATGCCAGTGAGCCATTAAGATGATAAGGATTCCTTAATGACTGACTGCTGTATCTAGTTTATGTTAATTAAGTTAAGCTGTGTGTAATTAGTTGGGTATATGTACCTCTGCAGTCCGGCAGAGAGGGGGTGCCTGCTACCTAGGGTATCCGCTACTTTGAGTTCCCGCTCAGTTCCCGCTGAGTTCACTCGCAATAAAGTAGTTCCCGCTTCAACCTTCAAGTTGCTTGTCATCTCCCAGTATTTCGCCCAGCCAGACAACGACACTTGATATACTGTTTCCAAAGTATATGCTAGAGGAACAGTGTTAAGTATAACCCTGAAGTTGTGTACAGTTACAGGCCAGAATAGAACTCTCATGAACACCTGATGCTCTCTTAATTGAGCTAAAAATTTTTAAACCTCAGATTTTCTAAACATTTATTATTTAAGTTAAATATAATCAGCAGGAAAAAGAAATCATTGGGAATAATATTCGATTAAAAACAGTAAATGGCATAAAAACAGATACATAGTTAGTGGTACAGAATAGGAGACACAAACAAACCCATACAGGTAAGTCATCTTATCCTTGACAAAGTTGCCAAAAATACATACTGGAGAAAAAACAGCCATTTTAATAAAAGGTGTTAGAAAAACTGGTTATTCGTATTAAGAAGAATGAGACTGAATACTTATCTCAAAAATCAACTTAAAATGAATCAAAGACATAGGAATTATACCACAAACTTTGTAACTCCTAGAAATAAATGTAGGGTCAACACTCCAACATATAGGTACAGGCAATAAGTTTCTCAATAGAATCCTAAACCTCAGGAAATAATGCCAAGAGTTAATAAATGGGATGGCAAAAGTTAAAAAGGTTGTGCACCATAAAGGAAACTATTAAGAATGTGAAGAGAGAACTTATAGAATGGAAGATTTTTTGCTAGCTACTCAGAATTCTAACAATCAGGATCAATATCTAGAATATATAAGGAACTAAAAAAAACACCAAAAAAAAAAAAAAAAAAAACCCACACCCAGTTCATAAATGGGCCAAAATGAACTAAACAAACACATCTCAAAACAAAAAATAAAAATGGCAAAAATATGGAACATTTTCAAAATTATTAGAAATTAGGGAAATGCAAATAAAAACTACACTGAAATTTCATTTAATTTCCAGTCAGAATGACAACCATCAAAAATACAAACAATAACAAATGCTGGAGAAGATGTGGAGAAAAAGGAACACTTTTACATTGTTGGTGGGACTGTAAATTAGCACAACCACTATGGAAATCAGGATGGAGATTCTCAAAGGATTAGGAATGAAACTACCATATGACCAAGGTATATCACTGCTTAGTGTTTATCCCAAAGAAGTAAAGTCATCACACTACAGCAATACATGCACACCCATGTTTATAGCAGCATAATTCACAATAGCCAATTTTGGAACCAGCCTAGGTGTCTGTCAATGAATGAATGGTTACAGAAAATGTGGTATATATACACAATGCCATTTTAGTCAGCCATAAAAAAAGAAGAGAAATATGCTATTTGAAGGAAAGTAGATGGAATTTGAAAGCATTATTTTAAGTGAGATAAACCAAACTCCAGAAAGTCAAGAGTCATATGTTTTCTCAGGTGGAAGCTAGAGAGGAAAAAGGTAAAGAAAGGTGTGTGGAAACTAAAAAAAAAAAAAAAAAAAAAAAAGGTGTGTGGGTGGGGAGAGCTCATGAAAATCAAAGGGAGACTGGTAGAGGAAAGGCAAAAGAGGGAAGGAGGAAGGGAGAGAAACAGAAAATACTGAGGAATGATATTGGTCAAACTATATTGTTATATTTTGTATATGCACAAATATTAATAACATCCCACCATTATATACTATTATAATGCATCAATAAAAATATGGAAAAAATAATAGAAATTTAGGATTTTAATATATTACCAAAGTTAGCTTCTCAACATAAATGCTTTTCAGATCTCATCCAGAAAGATTACATTTAATTTTGAATACTCACTATAACTCTTCTTCCCTTTCTTTTTTCTCCTGTGAGATTCCTTATAACATAATGGAGTGAAACATTATCTACACTGTGTTCTTGGTTCTTAATACCTTGATATTTGTTCTTTTCGTTTTGTTTTGTTTTTTGGTGGTTTCATCGAGATGGCCATGCTATTATTTTTGCTTAATAATTTTGAGAAATTAGAAGAAGAAAAACAGAAACTATATTTAAAGTAGGCAGCAGTATAGGAGATAACAAAATTTCCTTAGTTATGTTTATCAGTGGAACCTAGAAGTAATGCTCTGGCTTGTCAAAGTTCAAAATAATTTTTTAAGTTTAAGTTAGTTTTCTTTTTTAAAATAATAACCTAATGAAATAAAAATACCTATAATTATGAATCAGAGGCTTAATATTATTAAGATGGCAGTACTTTCCAAAATGTCTCACAGGTTCAATAAAATATAAATCAAAATACCAGCTGGGATTTTTGTAGAAATTTACAAGCTTAATCTAAAATTAATATAGAAATGGAAGAGACCCAGAATCCCCAAAACAATCTTGAAAAGGTATAAAGTTGAAGGATTCACACTTCCCAGTTTCAAAGCTTACTATAAAGTTCCAGTAATGAAGACATGTGGTACTGGCACGAAGATAAACAAGTAGGACAACTGAATGGAATTGAGAGACCAGAAATAAATTCTTACATGTATGGTCAACTGTGTTCAACATCTATGACCAACAACTATGGTCAAACCAGATGCCGCTGTTTTCAACAAGGATACCAAAATCTTATTGGGAGCCAACTGTGTGCTGCCAGACACTTTTGTACATGTTATCTCATTTAATACTCATGACATCTCATAGGGTAGAAATTCTGATGTGATAACATTTCAAAGTCCATTGTGTTTAGCATATATAAAGAACTCTTTTCAACAAATGCAACAGAAAAAATACTAATATGCTAAATAATTTTGGAACTCTTCATTACACCATACCCTCAACTAGCTACAAATGCATTATAGACGTAAATGTAAAAGTAACATTTGTAAAACTCTTCAAAGAAAAAGAGGAAATCTTCATAATCCTGACTCAAAGATTATGACACAAAAGCATGAACAAGAAAAGAAAAAAATAGATAAACTTATAAAAATTAAAACATCTTAGGCTTTAAACACATACTATCAAGAAAATGAAGAGGAGAGAAATCAGCAGGATGGAATAAAAGTGTGTAGGTATTGTATGTGATTGAAGTTAAGCTGTCAGCAACTCAGACTGATCTGTTATAACTAAAATGTAAGCCTCATGGTAACCACCAAGTAAAAAATAACAGAAAGGGGGGGAGGGGAGAGAGAAAGGAAGGAAGAAAAGGAAGGAAGGAAGGAAGAAATCAAAGCATACCACACAGAAAGGAAGAGAAAAATGAAGAAACAAACATACAAAACAACTAGAAAACAAACAATAAAACAGTTAAAGCAGTAAGTCTCTACCTACCAGTAATGACCTTGAATATAAATTACTTAAATTCTCTAATCAAAATAGAGTAGCTGAATAAGTTCAAAGAAATAAAAGAAAACAAGACCCAAGTATATACTGCCTACAGAGATGAATTTCACCTTTATGGACACACATTGAATCAAAGTGAAAAGATGGAAAAAGATACTCTAGACTATCGTGGCCTCGGGAGCAGCAGTTAAAAGTTGAAAATGTTCACTGGATCACTTTCAAATATTCCAAGTTAGGCTGCTGCTGAGCAAATTTCCAAAACATTCATATATTGAAATAAGATTTTAAAGAGAAAGTCCTTGAGACCGGGAAGGTGTCAAATCAGAGAAACATATAATGTCTTAGCAGTTTCCTGAGAGTGAATCCAAAAAGCAGTTCTACAAAGGCAAACTGAGGTAGGAAAACTGGAAAAACACTAGCAGGCAACACAGAAAGGTAGCAACAACCTGAAAACCAAAAATAACAGTTTTTAGAATAGAATTAATAAAAGCAACAGATGGAGGCAGCATCCAGCAAACAGTGATTCACAGGGAGGGGAGAAGCTCCCCTCTAATGAGAAGACAGAATTTCTTCCACCAAGTTTACAAAACCAGATGCTGCTGTCCAGTGAAGTCACAATAAGAGCAGAAAATAAGTTCATAAATAGCAATCTGTACTTGCATGGGAGAAATCCCTGACATGCTCCAATAGAGACAATAAAAGAGGATAAGCCATGAGAACTTAAAAAGAGTCTTTGTTAGGACTTCCTGTGTAGGAAATCAGAAATTCCTGCAGTTGGCCTTCATTTTTCATATCTCACTCTATTTTTCTCCCCTTAATTTTTCTTTTTTGACTGGTTCTTGGTATAATTGTTTTTTGAATATCCAAAACCATTCAGCCACTTGGGCTCTACTATTCACTGAGTTGGTGAGTGCCCTGAGTAAGTTTGAATATAGAAGAAACTGCAACTCAGACTGTGGGAAACAGGACAACTATGGCACCAGCCAGCTTTTTTTCATCCTGCAGAGGAAAAGTGAAGGACATGTTTATTTGAAACTGGCAATGTGAACTCTGAAATAAGGAGCATGGCTAACACAGGGGTGAAGAGGGACTGATCAGTATCTGTTGGGAAGCAGTGACCCCTGCATCATCTCCTCCAAGCCCAGATAGTGCTGGGGAATTGGCTGAAACATCCCATACACTTCCCCAGAGGACAGGGACTGAGGCTCTTAGAAAGAGGTACAATAGAGTGTGTCAGGCAAGCAGAGGGATGGAAATCAGCATAGAGACTCCCTAACAACTTCAACCAGTTTGGGTCAGAGCTGA